ATTTATAAACTATCAAGGGCTCATGAGGGAGGGGGGGGCGGGGAGGGAGGGGAAAAATGAGGACCTAATGTCAGGGGTCTAAGTGGAGAGATAATGTTTTGAGAATGATGTACAAATGCGCTTTACGCAATTGATGTGTGTATGGATTGCGATAACAGTTGTATGAGCCCTTAATAAAATGTTAAAAAAATATTTTAAACAAAGACAATGTTGAAGCTTATTGCCTGGATGGTAATGTATCCAGTGTTAAGTGACCACATGTTTTGTTCACATTTTCCCACTTGTAAGGTCGTCTTAAGGGGCCCTGGCAGTGTTGTTGGGAAGCATTGGATTTCTGAACGCAAGGCCGGCTATTCAAATTTACTAGTCACTCCTGGGGAGAAAGATGAGGCTGTTTGCTTCCATAGAGATTTCCATTCATGGAAATCCTATGGGGTCTCTAGGTTTATGATTATCTTAATACCAGCACTTTCCCATTTCTGGGAAATGGGAAATGCATGAGAGAAAACTGTGTTTTTAAAGTGATTCTCATATTATTTTAGGTAAAAAGTCATTCTGAAAAGAAATTTAAAAGTTATTTGTTGATTATGTGGGTTTTTAATTGTGCCCCTCTAATTTTATGATGGAATCTTTGGGTGGGGAAAGCAGGCTCCACTGATAACCACAAGGGTGGAAGTTGAAGTCCACATAGAAGTACCTTGAGAAAAAAGCTTAGAGACGTACTTCTGAGAAAACAGCTGTTGAAAACCTTTAGAGTTCCATTCTAATGTAGATGGGGTTCTTATGATTGGCTTACTTGACAGCAACTTCAAAAGAAATACTATTAATAAAATCCAGCTAGTTATTTTCACATGTATAAACTTTTTCTGCCAACAGAGATTTGGGGCACTTTCGAGATTAATGAAAAATTTACCATAGATCTTTTGAATTCATCTTCTGCCATCTTCTCCAACTATACAACTGGGATTGAAATTCAAGTAAGCACATTTCACTTATTACCTAAGGAATTGCTTGCAAAATATCAGTTGAGATGATCTTAATTCAGTTAGCTGTGTTTAATAGATATTCTTAATTCTTACTCTTCAGTGAATTGTTACAGAACAGTTATTTGAGCATCTTCATTCTACATGAATTTTATCACTTGGCCTCTTCCCATTTTTATTGGGTTCAGTTTGACCCATTTATTTGGGTAGTTTTATACTAAGCCTTTGTTCTTACTTTTGTATTATATTTGTCCAACAAACATTTCCATGATCTAAGTCCAAGAAATGCATTCTGTAAGGTCTCTCTTGGCAGAGGGCAGGTGAGTGAGTTACTGAGCAAAACTCTGGACATCCCAGTGAAGTCATGTAAAACTGATATCTCTAAAGTGAACCAGAGACACATATAAACCCTAGATATATGAATAGATTTGGGGCTCACACTTAAGTCTAGCACCAATTTAGGAACAATTAGTTCTTATGACCTGGCCCTACGTGACACTCACCTCATGAAGATATGAGTGCGATGGTAAAGTGTGGTGAAGAAACTTTTCTCTTCAAAAGAAAAGAGCCTGGAGTTTTAAAGACTTGTCTTTAAAAAACCATCCATCTTAGTGAGGTATCAACTTAGTCCTGATGGAAGAGGCACAGCAGCCTGTGTGAGCCAAGCACTGTAAATAATAAAATCCAAGATCTGAGGAGGTCATGTAAAAACTAGATCAGGGCTCTGCCTGCCATGGTTAACAGGTGGTGCGTGCTGAAGACATGGGTATTTTGCAAAGAGAGTCCGTGTAAGTACCTGTGAATATTAATGACTGCTTATTTTTGAGAAGGAGGTAGATTTGGAGTGGATTTCTTATATTATATGGCACCAGATACATTCCTGATCCTAAATCATTGGTTACTCACTCTTTGCTAGCACCGCAAAAAGGCAAATGTTCGCATTTGTCTGTGCTTGTTCCAGTTTTATGATAAGCTAGCCCTTCCCACTGTATCTCTTTCCTTTGTTCAACAGTGTTGTTTGTTATTTTTTATCCGTGTTCATTTATTTTGTTGTTGTTCGAATGCCTTTGCCAAGTATGAGGCTAAATACTAGTATGTGGCCCTTTGTTCTTTTTATAAGCTTAAAGGCGTATACAAAAGGATTCAAGGTTTTGAGTCCATTCGGGTCACCCAATTTCGGTAAGTAACACAATAGCCCAAGAAGGGCATCCCTTGAATTGTCCCCACCCTGCAGAATGCCTGGTGCTTGTTTCCAAGTGACCTTGAGCGAAAACAGAGCCAAATCTAGTAGGATTCCTTCCTCCAGTAGACCAGGGTCTGTGATACTTTAAAAAGTCAGAAGGGTAGAACTTAGATTTCCATTAAAAGGAGATGAAATTACATGTCAAGGACCATTCTCCAAGCTTTGAAGCAGAGACCAAAATTGAAAAGCCACAGAAGTATGGCAGGGCATGGAAACAACCATGTATGTCTAGGAAGGGGGTCCCTATGTGGTATAATCAGTGTACTTGGCTGCTGATATTAGAAGTTCAAGTACACCCCAAGGTATCTTGGAAGAAATACCTGGCAATGTACTTCTGCAAAACCAGCCTCAGAGCACAGCTCTACTCCCGCAGTAATGAGGTCACCTGAAGCAGAGTCGGTCAAGGTCAGATTTTGTTTTCCTTAATGAAAGGAAGGGGTGAAGGGTGGAGCAGAGGGTTGTGGATGTGGAGGGGTGGGTTGTATTTTTCTTTCACAAAGAGCATGCAGAGTCATGGGGGAAAGAACCATATTTTTGTGTAAATATCATGCATGCTTCATAGTGCAAAACCCAATCGTCAATGTCTGCAATAAGGTCATTGTCTACAATAAGTAAAGAAATATTTAGTAAACGCTTCTTTGTTTACACTTTAGTGCTTTAGTGCCCAAAGTGATTTGGTTAGCTAGCCATGTGTGCATTGATCACCAACCATGACTAGATAGTCCACTTGATAGAGGAAATGGCTTAGAGGTCAAGGAACTTGACTTCTTACTGCCCCACCGCACTCCTAAGAGCTTAAAGAACAGTCCTAGCAAAATTTCAACAGCATTTTCTATAACGATAAGGCTCTGGGCATCATCCTTCAAGGCATTGCATGCTCTTATGGAAATGCTCTCATGAGACGTCTTCTTTGAAGAGCCATGCTAGGTAAGGAATGCTATGTTTTTCTCTGACATTAAAGTCTTCAAGAAGTTCCTGGAAACATTTCATTACCTTTTCATTTCATTTTTCCGCTAACTTTTTGAAGCTCTCCACCACCCCCATGTAATAAATTTCCTCTTTGATTTTCTTGCCAGAGAACTCATAACAAAATTGAAACTCCACCACAACATAAATGCATATGTGTGAGTATTCAAGATTCATATGCTTATCTTCATTGGCCCTAGCTTTCTATTTATATTTCTAACTTGTATCCCATGTGCACATCCTGTAAGTCGTCTCAAATAATTGGTTGTCAAAGTCACAATAAAATAGGCATAAACCTTAAACAGCATAACTGTATTTTGGTATCACTTTCTATCTACATGATTTAGAAAACCCATTCTTAAGCTCTAACTGCCTGCAATTGACCTGTCTGCCTGACAGGATTATTCATGTCCACGCCACCTCATTACTCAGGTAGGAGAGCACTTTGCAGATAGAAGTGCCATTGTGTCTTTCTTTTATAAGTCCTTCAATTATTTATTTCTTCTTTTGTGTGTTTAAAAACTTTCTTTTTACTATTAAAAGAGTTGCAATGAAAAAAATGCCATTTTGATGCAAACACATCGTGACCATGACTCCCTGAGCTGCAATTTGCATTCATTTATCCACTGCAAGTGGCAATTCCATGGTATCATGGAGACATTGAGTGCTGGTGCTTAGTGGGAGGGGTGTCCGTCATGAAATGATATTTAGTACCATGAATAATGATGATTTCTGTGACTGAGTGCTAGTCGTTTTAGTGGCACAGACCAAACCTTAGAACTATTTCATGCCGTATTGAGATATAATGCACATACAAGGACACATTAAAACGAAAGCCATGCTGGCCCCATGCCAATGAACAACCCAATCCCACCACCTCTCACCACTTGAGCTTCTACCCAACTAGTTCAAGCCACCACCATCTCTTCCTCAACTTGTCTTTCGCTTTCTCCACTTGGCACCTTCTTATCTATTTTCTACACGATAGCCAGAGTGGTTATCTCCAAAGTAAATCTGGCCAGGTCCCTGCCTTTTAATAAACAATAAAATCAAAACTCTCAGGCCCTCTGTGATCTGGCTCCTGGCAACCTCTCCTATCTAGCATCTCCTACTGCCTCTTGCTCATTAAATTAAACGATACTAGTCTTTAAGTGTGTCAGACAGGCATTTTCCCACCACAGGGTCAACAGTTGGAAACCACCAGCTGGGCCTTTCTACTCCTGTAAACCATCACCGCCTTGGAAACATACAGAAGCCGTTCTACCCAGTCCTGTAGGGTCACTATGAGCCAGGACTGAGTTGATGACAGTGATTTGGTTGTGGTTGTTGAGGGCCTCCCCATGTACTCTTCCCTCTGCCTGTCCTGGTAAATCAGGGCTCTCTGGATGGTTGGATTTTCCTCCTCATTCTTTTGCCCTTGATTTCAAAGATCCACCTCATAGGGAACCCCCCCCCCCACTATTTACATCAGGGCCCCACCCATACCTGCTGTTTCTGCCACAGTGCCTGTTTGTGTCGCTCACTCACACTTAACAAAATATACAATCACAGACCATTGTCCCTCATCCTTCATAAGTTTCATCTTTGAGAACGCACTCGCTGAAATGTATTTGTCACCCCAAAGCAATGCTCACCCTCTTTCATGGCCATTCACAGGCACATGCAGAGCTGAGCTCCTTGAGAAGCGCATTCCCAGCCGAGGTCAAAGGCAATGCTCTGCCTTCTGGTTTCCGCTGGCCCAGAGAAGACACAGGCCTTCTCACGAGCTACCTTATGCCGTGGGTTGTCCACGTTTGTGTGCTTCGGATTGGTGCGTGGCTGTGGTGTCTACAATGAGCCCAAGCGTGGTGCTGAAGTGCTGACCCGCACGAAAGACTGAGAAGTCCTTTCCAGAGAAAAGACTTTGTGAGATGAGCTTCGCTTTGCTCAGGTGTGAGTTCCAGTGCTGTTGACTGTGAACTCGGTGCGGACGCACCAATAATATATATGGAATGAAGTTGCCTCTCAATAGGAGCTCACACGTCAACAAAGATATGTATCAATCAGTTGATGACAAGGTAACCAGGGACTCACAGGACCTTCACCTAGCCTTTCTCCTAAGAGTCATGGTTTAGCTATTTGCCATTTCAGTGTTTAAGACACCTTTATAAAACCTAACCACTCTAGGTGACAAGAGCAGACTGAAGGAGTTCGGTGGGGATTTGGCTCTCACTTGCCTTTTCTGGTAGAATGCAAATACCATGAAGGTAGAGCTCAAGTCTGGTTGGCTTACTCCTCTCGACCCAAGGCATGCGTATACAGGGTGGGCACTGAGTCTCTGAACAAATGAGCCAATTTCATCCCCACCCACCACCCCCATGTGCACATTGCAGGGAAGGAAGATGCACCCTTGTTGGCTATGAAGTCATTGGGTCCAGCAGCCCCTCTGAGCTGCTGTCAGCCATTGAACGGGCGGCGGAGCAGGCCAGGGAAGCCCTTCACAAGCTGTTCCCGCTGGAAGATGACTCTTTCCGAGTTTTTGGACAAGGTAATACTGGCGTCCCACTCTCGGTGCAGATCACAGAGGCTTTTCAGCAGCAGCTCCACTGGGATCTCAGGAAGCAGATGGTAGAGGTTTACATTACAGAATTGTTCTCAAACTGACTTTCAGTAGAAATAGGCCCTGATTCCCCTCCACCGACCACCACCCTGATCACGATGCATCTCAGTTTCAACTGGCTGTTTCAGAGCCTTGCTGACTGATGATCTGACCTGCCCCTCTGGACGACTGATTTCCCTGCAGGCTGTGATGAAAATGAGTCCGTGATAGTTCACTGGAACACATATAGAAAGAGCTTAGGGATTGATTACGTGTCTAAATCAGAATCCAAGGAACCAGGGCAAGGATGCTCTTTTGGAGAGTTTGGAGAAGGCTGTGCAAGTCTTACACACACACACACACACACACACACACACACATACACACACACACACACACACACACACCACTATTTTTCTGGAAGTATTTTTATTTTCCTTTTACTCCTTGATCATAAAACATAAACTCCTGCAGTCAAAATTTCTGCCATTTCCTTTCAACAACGTGCATTCAACAAACACGCACTAAGTGTCTGAAGTGTGCCAAACTGGGCTCTAAGCATGTTGGGAATAGTCATGGGGGAAACACAACAAAAATCACAGCCCTGGAGGGGACGGGGATTTCTAGTCATTGTTTCTCTCTCCCAGTCCCAAACACGACAAAAATACACTACACAGCCAGGTGCAAGGAGAGCGAATGGCTGGTCACAACAAGAGAAAACTAAAGTTTAGAGGACTACAAAACTGGAAGTGTCCCTTCCAAATGGCAACTGCCATCTTCTGGCCATCTTGCTTGGCTCTAGAGAGTCTCTGGGAACCTTGGTGGCGTAGAGCTTACATGTTGGACTGCGATCCACAAGACAAATGGTTTGAAACCACCAGCCGCTCCTCGGGAGAAAGAGCAGGCTTTCGATTCTCGTCAAGAGTTTCAGTCTCAGAGACTGTGTAGGACAGTTCTGTCCCATAGAGTCATGATGAGTTGGGAGTACAGTCCCCAAGATTTTCTTATTTTCTGGGATCCCTCTGCAGACACATGTACTTCCCGAGACTCATCACACTCTGCCTTAGGTGTAGCCTCACACTGAGAAGTTCGTAGCCCACTGGAATCGGCATTGTTGACATAGATCTGGTACCTTGAGGGAGAGGGACAAGTCTTGGCTTCAGGAAGGAGGACAGGGAACTGAGAGGAAAGGATCTGGACATCAAACACGTCTCCATTTTGCCTGGATTTTGGTTCTGAAAATTAGCCTTTTAAAGGATTTGAATATTTCAACATGATTTACATAGAAGCCCCGTTGAGTCTAGAGCCACTTTCTCTGTCCTGTTGCCCTTCTTTGCCAGCCCAGTGTCACAACGTGGTCTTCGGGTATGGACTCCGGAATGGCGAGTACACCCTGCCCTGTAGCCAAGGCTACGTGGGGAGCATCACAGCCAGGTGCCAGTCCTCTGGGTGGCAGGTCACCAAGGAGTCCTGCGTGCTCTCTCAGCTGGAAGCCCTGAAAAAGGTGAAGTATTTTCACCCCACAGACGTGTCGTGCCTTTGATTTTCACAGTCAACGTGCTCCAGTGAACATGGCAAGGTAGAGGTTGACATGTATCAAGTTATATTGATGGTTGGTGGGCAGAAGACCAGGTAAGAGCCAACACCTCCCCCTACCCCCCCCAAATCCCCACAAAACCCAAAACCACCACCAACAACAACAAAACGGCCATTGGTTGTTGACTGGATTCCAACTTGAGGTGACCCAATGTGTGTCTGAATAGATTGTGCTCCACTAATTCAAAGACGTACAGGAAGAAGAAAATGGTCTAAAATTGATTGTGGTAAAGAAGATACAGTTCTTCTTGATCTGAGTGAATGATTGAATTGTAGGATATGTGGATTATGTCCCATTAAACTGTTTTTTTAATGTGACATCATTATCCTAAAAAGAAAGCGGGACATACAGGAAATTGTATACCCAATTAAAATCACATTTCACCTATACAACTTAGAAGAAGAACAGGACCAGTGCTCTCTACAGGTTTCAGGACGGTGGTTGCTCAGGATCAAATCGCCAGGCTCTGCAAGGCGGTGAGGGCAGGAGGGGAGGGCCTCGGTGGAAGCAGAGCGCGTGTGAAAAGATCAGAGGTAATGGTCCGGAGGGAACGGTACTTCAGAGGAGTGAACTGGCACTCAGGAGGCACATCCTGGGTGGTAGGATCCCAATGACGCTGGCACCCAAAGTCCAGAGGCTGAGAAGAAAAGGTCACAGCGCAGGGTGGGTCAGAAGCTCACAGGGCACAACAAATCAGATTGTGCACCTATCAGGAATCGGGGCAGAGGTAAGCATTCAGAGCGACAGAATGGCAAAGGATCTGATCTATTAAGTTCCTTTTATAGATTAGAAATGAAGGTCAAGGGGCCAAAGGTCACGCTGCCAGCTTTCATGTTGGGAATTGAGCACCTGATTCATAGTTCAGAGCTCTGAGCATCACATGATGTTCTCTTATTTTATATAGCTGATTTCTGACTCCTAGTGATCCTACAGGACAGAATTGAGCTCTTCTTTAAGGTTTTTAAAACTATCGGTCTGTATGATAATAAATGGCCCCATCTTTCTCCCAGGGAGAGCTTGGTAATTTCAAACATCTAACTTTTACTTCCCTACTGTGCCCCCGAGTCTCCTAATCTTCTCTCCAAAAGTGCCCATAGTGGAGGAACATGTAGTCAGACAGGAGGGAGCAGATGGAGAGTCTGAGAGACAAGGCAGAGGGCTTTTCAGACTCACTCTGGGCACTGTCTTAAAAGTGAACCTCTATAGTGAGCAGCAACCCTGTCCTAGCTGGAGACTCAGCATTGTAGTTAAGAACTCTGGGTCGGTACTTATCACGGGCCAGTGGAACACTGGCTTCTCCTTGGTTGTACCTCAGTTTCCATACCTGCAAACGAGGGAGAGGGCTTGTACTACATGGCCTCCAGGCTGTATTCTTCCTCTGATTGTCTTTAACTCAACTCTGGACATGGACAATATCCAGGACTAATCCACCTCAGCGATGCACTTGCCTGGCAGAGAAATCTGGGGTTGGGCAGATCCCAGATACCCTGGGCAGAGAAAGGCATTGTTGGCTGAGAAGAAACAGGAGGGGGACAGGTGGGATCTGGGTTTCTGAATGGACATGGGGTTGATTAGAAGAGCACCTTCTTCCTTCCCTTCCTTCCAAGGGAGCCCCAACCTGTGGAGGCAGATGGGAGATCCAGGGAAGAAGTAACTCTCTAAATCCAGCAATATCTTTTTTTAAAACCTTTTATGAGGGGCTCATACAACTGTCATTGCAATCCATACACACATCAATTGTGTAAAGCGCATTTGTACATCATTCTCAAAACATATGCTCTCCACTTAAACCCCCGGCAGGTTTTATAAGTAGGATAGCAAATTATATGACAATGATCATTCACAAATCTCTTCAAGTTTCCGTTTCCCCAACTCTACAATGAAATACCTCCCTCAAAGTGTGGTTGCGAAGATTGAACAAATCCCTGCAGAGCATTTAGCACAGGGTCTGGAATATAGAAACCACGAAATACTAACCATTGCTCTTCTGATCACTATCTGGTTGTCTGACATCATAACTCACTGCCATTAAGTCAATTCCAACTCATAGTGACCCTATGGGACAGGGTAGAACTTCTCCATGAGTTTCCAAGACTGTCACTCTACAGCAGCCTTTCGATTCTCGTCAAGAGTTTCAGTCTCAGAGACTGTGCAGGACAGTTCTGTCCCATAGAGTCACGATGAGTCAGGAGTACAGTCTCCAAGATTTTCTTATTTTCTGGGATCCCTCTGCAGACACAAGTACTTCCCGAGACTCATCACACTCTGCCTTAGGGTAGCCTAACACTGAGAAGCTCGTAGCCCACTGGAACCGACATTGTTGACATAGATCTGGTACCTTGAGGGAGAGGGACAAGTCTTGGCTTCAGGAAGGAGGACAGGGACTGAGAGGAAAGGATCTGGACATCAAACACGTCTCCATTTTGCCTGGATTTTGGTTCTGAAAATTAGCCTTTTAAAGGATTTGAATAAAAACAGCCTTGTTTTTATTTTAGAAACCCTTGAAAACGTTAGTTGTATATGGCCAAGAAATCCAAATGAAATGAGATCAAATATTGTTTTCTAGAGCTTGGACCCTTTTGTTTTTGTCATTTCTAGAATCTCAGCGTGATCGCAGACAACATCACAGAGGCTGCCGTGTCGTCCCTGGTGAAGAATCTTTCTACCATCCTTAAGCAAAACCCATCAACCACAGCTGGGAATCTAGCTTCGGTGGTGTCCCTTCTGGGAAACATCACCTCCCTGTCACTGGCAAGGCGTGTCAAGGTGTCCAATGCCACAATGGAGGTATGGCCTGCCTGTGCTTGAACGCTCACCTGAAATGCTCACTCTCATAGGAGAGGTGACAGATGCCTGAGTGGTGGGGAGCTGTCAGGAGAGAGTGAGGGACAGGTTAGGGGTCCTGATGAGAGCTCCATCACCTTCTCTGAAGGGCACAAGGGACTCATGGAAGTTCAAAAGAAGAGGGCAAAGTAAGTGAGTTTAAAGTAAGATAGCCAAAGCTGACTGAGGGGAAGGGATGAGCCTGCTTGATATAAGTGTCTACTTTTCATTATAGGTTTGCAATACAGTCATTATTTCCTGAGGCCATAACTCTGACTTTTCATAATGTGTGTGTGTGCCAGTGTGTGCAGCTTAAAGTCCCCTTTCTAGGCCGAGGTCTTCCTGATGGAGTTGGGCTATTTAAAAATTAACATAAAATGATACAAATACCTGAGCCTATAAGGCAGGGGTGGAACACATCCAGCTTATGGCTATATCAGGCTCTCAGAAACCATTAATGCTAGTTCACATCACATGCCTCACTGAAGAGAAGCAGTTCCCGCCATCACACACACCACACACACACACACACACACACACACACACACACACACACACGGCAAACTCACTGCCATCAAGTCAATGACACTCATAGCGACCCTGTAGGACAGGGTAGAACTGTCCCTGTGAGGTTCAGAGACTGTCACTCTTTAGGGGAGTAGAAAGCCTTTCCATCAAGGATGAGTTAGTGAAATGTTTGACCAGCATGAATGACCTGAAAATGAAGTTAAACATATTCAAATGGCCCCAGGCATAAAGAAGTTTCCCCACCCATGTTATAAGGAATGCAAATAAGCAGAAAGGAAGAGATATGATCTGTAATCTTGTTGTCCCCCTGGAACAGCCGCTGCTAGCATGTTTGCTCTAAGGCCCGGTGCCTGGAAGAGTGACAAGCGACATAAAGCAGTTACACACACAATTGTTAAATACATAACCTTCCAAGCATTTTAGATGCATGCATATTATATATAAAGCACAACATTTTATAAACTTAAATGATTCAATATATCATATTGGATGTGGCATATTTGCACCCTTGTACTTAATGAACATAATGTACATAATGTACACCCTTGTACATAATGAACTTTACATTAAAGATGGTATCAACTATATATTTCATAAACTTCCCAACATCAAAGAAAAAAGTACTTGCATATTTTTGCTTCTTTTCCTTTTAATCTGACCATATGTTGTTTATAAGAAACAACTAAAACAAATCACACACACACACACATAAAACAAAAACCCTAAAAAGGCTAAAACCAAAAGGAAGGGCAAGAACAGAGCAGACAGGCACATCCAAAGCAGGAAGAGGTTCCCTGGGACCTGGGTAGACCTGCACTCTGGTATCTGGGCCAAAAGGCAGAGAGAGTTGGGTTAAGGAGCTACTGAGTTGGAAGGCTAAGACACTAAGGCTCAGTTGCTGGGGAACCTAAGGTCCAATCAAGAGAGAGGGTCCTGTGGGAGCTGCTGAGAAAAGGAATACCGGAAACCAAGGGAGGGAAAAAGCCCTTTGCCCACAAGTCCACGCCAATTTCAACTCATGGTCACCCTGGGGAGTCAGAGTAGAAATGGGTTAGGCCAGGTGGACTAGAGAAACAAATCCAGAGACACTCATATGTTTACATGAAAGAGCCTTATACAAAGAAATAATCGTGCATCAATAAAACATCCGAGCCCTGTCCAACTCAAGTTCGTAAGTCTGCTACTAGTCTGTAAGCTCCTCTTCAGACTCACACAGCCACATGCAACGATGCAGGATGCAGGATGATCACAGGCCAGTGGGTGCCCAGTCTTGTGGATCCAATAGCAGTGGTGGCATCACAGGGCTTGAGCAGGTCACCATGTAGCTCCTCAACAGGAAGGTAAAGGCAGGGGGTGTGGGCGGGGAAGGGGGTACCTTCAGAGATCTGTTTATCTCCTTGGCTGCACCTCCAAATGAGGTCATCAAGCTGTGACCTGATTGTCAGACTTAACTCCACCCATAGCTTCTTACAGGTGCCATGTTGGCACAAAAAAACCCTATCATCAGAAGCGTGTTCCGTGGGGTTCTCAATGGCTGGTTGTCCAGAAGTGATTGTCAGGCCTTTGCCCAAGGTGTCTCTGGGTGGACTCCACCCACTAACTCTTTGGTCAGCAAATGGGCATATTTCCTGTTTGCTCCCCCTAGCGAACATTAGCCTAAGATTGACTCCCAGACCCCACCAGGCACTTCTTCCTTATCGCTCAGGCTCAGGCTTGTTTTATATTTGCTGATAAACCAATGAGAGCTATGGAAGCATAGTGTTTAAGTGCTGGCTCCTAACTGGAAGGTTGGCAGTTCGAATCTACCAGCTGCCCCAAGGGAGAATGCGATGGCCACCTTTTTCTGTACAGATTTACAGCCTTGGAAACCCTTGGGGGCAGTCACATTCTGACCTACAGGGTCACCAGGAAGTGAACTCAATGGTAATGGGTTTGGTGTTTGGATTTTAATAAACAACGAAGTGTATACAAATAAACATGAATTAAAACTTGGAGATTCAGGACCCGTATTTAGAACTTCTGAGGGAAGCAACCTAAATGTAAAGTGGGGAAAGCAGTTAAAAGAAAGAACTTAATCTTTGTGCTTCAGCTTTGAAGTTACACATCCATTTTCCACCTCACGAGGAGATGTACACTTGTGCAGCCCAAACGATGGGCTTCTTTTGTGTCTCTGGCGAAATCCCAGGGTGCTTGCAAATGCTCTGGGCTCATCACCCAGAATTAGACACTGCACCGTGCTTCACCCCCTAAGAAATGAGGGGGATTCAGAAAGTCTTTAGGGGAAATGCCATTATCTTTTAATTCCATGGTTCCACAAACTTTTTGACAGACCCTCATATGTATTGGAATTCCTACCCCTTACCTCAGGAAGTAATCCTATCAGGAACCAGGGCATTCTCTAAGGCCACATCAGCATAGGGTATTTTGAAAGCCAATCACTTTTGAGACTTAAACGGTAGATTAGGCACAGAAGGCAGCTGGTAAGAAAGTGATGGAGCTCGCCACAGAACACAGAGAAGAGAAAATGAAGAAGGCAAGGATTTCCCCCTAGAGCAGAGTCTCTCTGACACATAGGTCCCTAACTTACTTGGTCTACCACTGCTTTTTCAGGGGAAAAAAATTACTCATCACCCATCTGGTGAGAAAAACATTTGTAAGATCAAATGTCTGTCCAGCACCTCCCAGGGGACCGTATTACTCACTTTGGGAAGCGGTGTTTTAAAGAGTCAGTGCCCTGAGGGTGGACTTCTAGACCCCTGTACCATGAGAAAGTACCTTTCGGTCCAGGAAAACCATCCACGGTGACAGCAATCCAGGAGAACCAAGGGACCTGACAACATCACTATTTATTTCGTTCTGCCAACTCTCGATTCTTAACGCAGAGCTCCTGCGGGGCTGAGCAAGTGAACACAAGCTGATGGATGGGTCTTATTTGGTCCTGAACAGAGTCCATTTTTCTGGGCATTTTTTCTACCTTTAATAATAATGAGCCTCGGTGGTGTGGTGTAGCGGTTAACTACAATGTCAGTGGTTTGAAACCACCAGCCACCCTGCGGGAGAAAGATGAGGTTTTCTCCTCCTGTAAAGAATTACAGTCTTACAAACCCATAGGGGCTGATCTAACCTGTCCTCGAAGGTTGCTGGGCGTCGGAATTGACACGAGGGTAGTGAGTTTGTTTTTTGTAGGGGCGGGCTAAGGGTGATGACTGTCTACACTCTGGTCTTCGTTCTGTGTACTATCATTTACCCTTGTCTTTCAGGATGTCATCAATATCGTTGACCATATCCTGAATTCAGCCTCTCTCACCAACTGGACCCTACTACTGCAGGAAGAAAAACATGCCAGCTCACGGCTCCTGGAAGCGGTGGAGACCATCAGCACCCTGGTGCCTCCAACAGCCTTGCCCCTGAAGCTTTCTCGGGAATTTATTACCTGGAAAGGGAGCCCCGTGAGCAAAAGCAAACTGGAACAGGGCTACCACTTTCAGATGGAAATGTTCCCGGCAAATGCCTCCATGCCCGTCAGAGGGGAGGTGTTCATTGGGCCAGAGCAGTTCCGTAAGTCCCTTCCAGAAACTATTATCAGCCTGGCCTCGTTGAATCTGCGACACATTCTACCGAGCGCCCGACTTGAGAACGCTCGGATCAATGGGCCTGTGATATCCACTGTCATCCACAACTATTCCATACGTGAAGTTTTCCTGATCTTCTCCAAGATCGACCCAAACCTGAGCCAGCCCCATTGTGTGTTTTGGGATTTCAGCCGTTGGCAGTGGGACAGTGCAGGCTGCTCCCTAGTGAATGAGACTCCTGCCTCGGCGATGTGCCGGTGTACTCACCTGACCTCCTTCTCCTTGCTGATGTCACCCTTTGTCCCCACTGCCATCACCTCTGTTGTGCAGTGCATCACCTACGTGGGGCTGGGCGTCTCCATTGGCAGCCTCGTCTTATGCCTGATTCTTGAGGCTCTGTTTTGGAAGCACGTCCGGAAGAACCAAACGTCGCACACGCGTCACATTTGCATGGTGAACATAGCCCTGTCCCTCCTGATTGCTGACGTCTGGTTCATTGTCGCTGCTTCTGTGGACCCCGTGGCAACCCCTTCGGGATTCTGCGTAGCTGCAGTCTTTTTCACCCACTTCTTCTACCTCGCCTTGTTTTTCTGGATGCTCGTGCTTGGGGTCCTGCTAGCGTATCGGATCGTCCTCGTGTTCCACCACATGGCCCTGCCTGTGATGATGGCAGTCGGCTTCTGCCTGGGCTATGGGTGTCCCCTTGTGATATCTGTCATCACCATCGCTGTCACACTACCCAGCGATGGCTACCGAAGGAAAGACGTGTGTTGGCTTAACTGGTCGGATGGAAGCAAGCCTCTCCTGGCCTTTGCAATTCCTGCACTCACCATCGTGGGCGTGAATCTGACTGTGGTGCTGCTCGTGCTCCTGAAGCTCCGGAGGCCGGCTGTTGGAGAAGGGATGAGCCAGGATGACAAGGCCACGGCTCTCCGCATGGGGAAGAGCCTGCTCATTCTGACGCCTCTGCTGGGGCTCACCTGGGGCTTTGGCCTAGGGACCCTGGTGAATAGCCAAACCCTGGCGTGGCATGTTATTTTTGCTTTGCTCAATGCATTCCAGGTGAGAGGAATACGAATAATCTATTACGTCACCAGGAGCCCTGGGCACGTAATAGTTACTTATTGGGCGATCTGCAAGGTTAGCAATTCAAAACCTCAGGAGAGAGACCGGGGCTTTCTACTCCCATAAAGTGTTATAGTCTCGGAAACTCACAGAGGCAGTTTGACCCTGTCTTATAGCGTGACTGTGAGTCACCATTGACTTGATGGCAGTGAGTTTGGTTTCTGGGTTTTTTGGGTGTTTTTTTTTTAAGTTTTTTGAAATGTCAACCAGCAATTGGAATAAATATAGAGAATTCCAGGCACAAAAGTCATTTTAGTGGGATTTTCATCTCTCTTCCAGGCCTCAGTAGGACTATATCAAAAACTGCATGAAAAAAGAAAGGAAAAGAAAATCTATTTCCCCCCAATGGTTACAATGATATTGAAACAGAACATTTGAATTCTCCAGCAGTCCATTCCCAAGGTGTGAAATGAAGGGCTTTGAGTTCACATAACTAACAGGAATCCCTCTTGCTGTCGAGGGAACCCTCCTTTCCCTGAGCAGCCCTCTATGGGAAAGCACGCCGAGAAAGGGGAATTCATCCTGAGGACTGTGGAGTCTGCAGGGAGCAAAGGAATGTCTTAGAGTGCCACAGAGCAGACGCCGGCAGGAGACAGACAGGAGACTGTTTTTATAAATAAAGTTTTATTGGGACATCCATGCCCACCGTTTGCATCTGCTTTTGCTCTACAGTGGTACAGTAGAAAAATTCTGACAGAGACCAAATGGCCTACAGGGCTTACAGTTTTATCTCTGGCCCTTTACAGAAATCTTTGCCAACCTCTGCTACAGAAGATGGGTTTTACATGTCACAACTAGAGCATTCTGAGAGCAGGTGGACAAAGTCATTCTTAAGGTTTGATGAACCTGGAAGAGAGCCATCAATTCATCCCAAAGAGGTCTTACCTGCCCATCTGTGAACAGTGAGGACACAGGGAAGTGGGGATTTGTGTGCTGCACTTAAATGAATCGAGCTCCACTACACCACGTTCCCAGCTGTGTGACCTCTGATAGATAACCTAATCTCTTTGTTCCTAAATTCCTCAGTTAAAAGGAGATAATTATTATTAATATATTATACAGTGAGGAATAATGAGAGTTTCGCACTTAGTACGGTGTCAGACAGACAGTAATTGCTTCTAAGTGTTTTCTGATGATAGCTGATTTCTCATATTCTTTCAGCACAGGTTAACTTTTAGGAAGTCGTGGGAACCTTGTGGGGAGCCCTGGTGGTATAGTGGTCATATATTGGGCAGTTAACCACAAGTTGATCAGTTTGAAACCACTAGCTACTGCTCCGTGGGAGTAAGACGAGGCTTTCTACTCCTGTGAAGAGTTACAGTCTCAGAAACCCACAGGGGCAGTTCTACTCTGTCCTTTAGGACCCCTGTGGTTTGGCATCAGCTCAATGGCAGTGAGTTTGGGTTTGGGGGGAATCCTCACAGGAAGGAGCCCTGGCGGAGTAGTGGGTTGAGTGTTGGGCTGCTAACCAAAAGGTCAGCAATGAGAAACCACCAGCCACTCCTTGGGACCCAGATGAGGCTTTCTACTCTGTAAAGACTTAATAGTCTTGGACGCTTGAAGGGGCAGTTCTAGAGGGTCATGATGAGTCAGAGTTGACTTGATGGCATGGGTTTAGAGAAGCCCTGGTAACCTCGTGTAGGGGGTAGTAGGACCCCTGCTGGGCCTGTCAGAGAAGGATTGGACTACTAATCACACGGTTGACTGAACCCACCAATTGTTCCTTGGGAGAAGAAGGAGGCTTTCTATTCCTATGTAGATCAACAGCCTTGGAAACCAAAGAGGGCCATTTTCCTGTATCAGGTCACTACGGTTCAGAATTAACTCAATGGCATTGAGTTTGGTTTTCGAGCTTTTGGAAGAGCCCTGGGAGGGCGGCGGTTAAATGTTCGCTGTGTGAATCCCTCAAGAGACCATCCGGCAGGCTGCTTCCATAAAGACCACAGCTTTGGGAGCCCCATGGGAGGTTCTACTCTGTCCTGGAGGGTGGCAATGAGTCAGAATGGGCCCAACAGCAATGGGTCAGAGATCACAATCATGGAAAGCCAGCACAGGAGGATAACACCCTTTAGAGGGATGGCCTCAAGCAGTAGGAGGGTCCCAGAAGGGTTTCCCTGTACTTGAGGGATAGGGTGCTGCCACAGGCCAACTCTCCCAAAGACTTTAGGGTTGGTCTTCAGTTTCTGCTGCCATTATACATGCTTAGCAAATGTTTAAGAAATGCCTGGTCGATTGAGCCAGAAGCAAATGGTTGGGGATGACACCATGGGAGGTACATGAAATTCCACATGCATTTAAAACTCCAGTCACTCAATTGCTTGCTTATGCATAGCGTAAACCAAATGTTTGAGTTGTGCCAAGCACTGTAGAAGTCATGGTGCCCTCACCTTTGAGAAGGCCACAGTCTAATATTGAGGCAGACCAGAAAAGAAGCTTAATGTTGGTTGACAAAATCGCATTATAGATACAGACTCAAGTATACAATGACCATGATGGTTTTCTTCCTTTTTTCTTTTTAAAGGGATTGTTCATCTTGTGTTTTGGAATATTCTTGGATAGTAAGGTATGTGCAATCATTTTTTTCTTTGCCCTCAAACCCAAGCATCTTTAAACCTCACCCCTTCAGTTTAGGAGCCTCATTTCAATAATTAGAAGGTTTAGACAATGGGTACTCTTGGAAAAATATTCCAAGCTATTTAAAAAGAGATATTCCATCAAGAGACAAAAAAAATTCCATTGGTTACTGGTGATGATAAAGCTAGATAGAACTAAGCACAGCATATATTGTGAAGAGTAGATACCACCTTGAAGGGGGCGTTTTTAATCTTGAACTTTTACACATGAAATCGTGGGTTGGCAGTAACCCAAGAACAACATTGTCTTCCTTCGGAGCAAAATCCCATCACATCTTCAGTTCACTTATCCACCTACTTAGAATATGCTTAGAGGTGCATCTACTTCGATAGGTGTAAAGTTTTAAAGAAATGTTAAAATAGCCCCACCACATTAAGTAAAGTAGGAGAACCTTCATGGTATAGTGGGTTACGCGTAAGGCCACTACTGGAAAGTCAACAGTTCGAAATCACCAGCTACTCCTCTACAGAAAGATGAGGCTCTCTACAGCAGTCAAAAGCTACAGTTCCAAAAACCCACAGAGGTAGTTCTCTCCTGCCCTGTAGGGTCATTGTGAGTCAGAATTGGCTTGATGGCATTGAGTTATTTTTTATTTTAAGTAAAATGCTTCATGAATGACCAGCAGATTAGCTGAAGTCTAATAGAAAAGGAAAATATAAGGTAAAAAGTTTTACACTGTTTTCCCAAACCTTGAATAACTGTGGAGAAGTAAAAGCAGCTGAGTAATAAATATGAAAGACTCTAATGAGAAAATAAAGATAATTGATAATTCATACAATTATTAGGCACACTCAAGCACTATTTACAAAGAAGCAATTTTGTTATTGTTTTAATTTAATGCTGTACTGAGCTAAATCATTTCTTTGTTTGCGCCATTCATATGATGAGGAAACTGTTCACTTAGAACATAAATGTCAATTTAGTCATTTATTGTCAATTACAAATGTCTAGAATCTGGTTTATTATGGGTTTTGGTACTTTTGTTCTTTGTTTAACTCTAGTTTTGTTTATAGGAAAGAGTCTATGAAAGCAAATCCTTTTACCAGATATCTATGTTTATGGTCTATTAAATGCTCCCAAGAAATACTGCTGTTAATTTTTAGTTATACAGCTTTGTTTTATTGTTGTTGTTCATACTTGATTATATACACGTGTCTCCCCAACACTTCTTTGTTATCTTTATAGCTTCGACAACTTCTGTTCAACAAGCTATCCCCATTAATCTCTTGGAAGCACTCATCACAGGTAATTATCTCCCACTGCGATGGGGAACAGAACAAGGGACTACTTAGCATGGTTTAAAATCAGGAAAATGGCATCAGGGTTATATTCTCTCGTTGTACTTATTCAATCTATACACTGAGCAAAGAGTCAGAGAAGCTGGGTGATAGGAAAAAGAATGCAGTAAAAGGACTGGTGGAAGGCTTATTGAAGAAGCTGTAATGTGCAGATGACACACCTTGCTTGCTGAAAGTGAGGGGAATTTGAAGCACTTGCTAATGAAATGAAGATCCAGGTTGCAGCTTTCAGTAATGGATTGCAACTCAGTGTAAAGAAGACCAAGATTCTCCCAAGTGGCCCAATAGAAAACATCATGATAAAGGGACAAAAGATTGAAGTTGTCAAGGATTGTTTCTACAGTCTATACTCACAGAAGCAGCTGTCAAGAGATCAATAGACATGCTGCATTAGGTAAATCTGTTGCACAAGACCACTTTAAAGTGTTGAAAAGCAAGGATGGTAATTTGAGGACTAAACGTTTGCCTGACCCAACCCATGGTATTTTCAATTGCCCCATATACATATGAAAGTTGTACATTGGCAAAGGAAGACCAAAGAAAAATCACTGCAGTTGAATTAGTGTTTGCCAGGAAGGTTGAAGTACCGTGGAATGCCAAAAGAACAAACAGCTTAGCCATGGAAAATGTACAGCCAGAATGCTCCTTAGAGGCAAGGGTGGTGAATCTTTTTGTCTCACGTGCCTTGGACAAGCTGTCAGGAGAAGGCACTCCCTGGAGAAGGTTATCATGCTTGGTAAAGTAGAGCAAGAGCAGACAAGAGGAATGCCCTTTACAAGAAGGACTGATACAGTGGCTCCAGCAGTGGGCTCAAACCAGTGGTGAGTTTATTGTCAAATAATTCAACAACTAGTGTGCTGCCCTCATGACCACTTCAAGTTTTGAAAACTGATATACCGAAAGGTAGTTTATTATTGCATGCAGTTAAAACTTAGGTAAGAACAATAAAAAGGTACACAAAACTAGATTCTGTTATAACAAAGAGTTTTAGAATACTTCATAATACCTGCTGAAAAAGAGTAGAACTATTCTTTTAGATATTCCCATACTGCTTCTTTAGCATCCTCACTTGCAATATTCTTTGCTTTTATCCGAGCTTCACCAGCTGTGTGATTTATCCTTAGCCATCTTTTCACTGCAGGAGTAGGACCCCGTTCTTTCAGAGGTAGGCCAATATGACAACAGTCACTGTGTTTGCTATTACAAACAGGCGACTTCTCTTCTCTGAACGTATTATGTCCATCTTTGAAAACCCCTTTCCACTTCTGTTGAATTCACAGCAATTGTTCTGACAATATTTCAGCTCTTTGAACACTTTCAGGAATCATATCATTCACTCATAAGATCCTGTGGGAACTTGAGGCATCATAACACAAAGCTGAAATGATTACTTGGCACTCTTTACGTTTTATGTTTATTTACTGAGTTAATAAATGCAATGAAATAAAAATGTTGTATTTCATCAAAAGTCTAATGAGTTTTATGAAATGAATAAACCAACAATATAAGCATACTTGCATCTAATTTTTTATACGTATGGACAGAATAAACACGACTATAAAGGCTTAGAATACACTGTTGCACATTGAATGTTAAAAAAGAGTAAGGAATGTGAATTTGTGATTTCCACATTGGGTAGCTGCCCAGACACCCATCTTAGAACCCTGATCACAAGTTCCATCTTAACAAATGGTTCACTGAACACAACCAGAAAATTAGCTTTTATCAGTTCTAGTGAACTGCTGTGAACCAGCTGAGTCCCATCATCAGCTCAAACATAAGAATGATCGTGAAGCTTGTGCGGGACCGGGCAATGCTTCCTCTGTTACAGAGAGAACTGCTGTGCGTTGGCACAGACTCGATGGCCCATCACAACAAAAGCCATCCTGGCCAAATGCATGACATGCTAGTTTGTTTTTGTTTTAACCTTGTATTGTGAATTTGGCAGAGGCTGACTGATCAGATCCTCTGTTTTTGTGTTCTACCACTTTAACGATGTCTCCCCCTGCCCTACCTTTTTCCATCTCCCTTTTGCCAGATACTATCTTCCCCTTCACCAAGTTGACACCTCTCTACTCCCTCCCCTCCCTTCCGATCTCACCCATGGTAACCACCAAAGTCGGCTCCTTTTGGTCTGATCAGCTGTAGCTTCATTTAAAAAATAACAGTCGCCTCATAGCATATTTGTCCCTTTCTGTTTGACTGACTCCACTCCAGTTTTGCAGTCTCCTCTTTATGCAGTCCCACAATGAGCCCATTGTTGGGTAAACCCCTTGCGTTTCTCCCTCTGCTGTATTCCTGTTGCCTGGCACAGCGGCTGGCACATGATTGCTACTCGGCAGAGAGTTGGGGAGGGCATGCGTACAAGAAGCCATGATGGTGGTGGCATGGAAAGCTACCAGGATGAGCAGGCTTGCTGCCTGTGGGCGCTCATGATAGGGAACATCTCTGCACTACATTGTTTGACCGCGTTCCCATGAGTCTCCTCCAAGCTAGAACCAGTAGGTCTCTTTTCTCTGTCTGACTGCCTGGACCCTCAGGAATCCATGCTTTCTTCTCATCCGCGGTAGAAAGGAGGTTTTGTTACACTTTTTAATGTTCAAAACATTTTCTAAATTTTATCTCTTAAGCTGGCACTGTGCTATTGGCGATGTTAGGGCGTCAGTCTATAAGCTGATAGGTCCATATGAAAACACAGGATTCCTCTTTCATCCTTTAGCACATAAGCGCAATTCATGTGAAAACAGTAAAATGAGAAACCAATGGTGGGGCACACCCCACACCCATCAGTACAAGAAGGTCCTTTCAGACAAGGGTCTGACATGTTTGAGACAATCAAGGGATATACAGCATCCAAACCTACAGGGGTGCTTAGACATTCTCTCAAGGGCAATAAAATCTTTGAAATGAATGCCAAGGAGGACATGATGCATCAACCTTGACCGTATTCCTGAGCCTGCATTTTACAGTACAGGGCATTGCTGTAAATCTGGGAGCACTGGCCCGAGAGCTGGCACCCTGACCTGTGCTTCTGTCACCAAGCAGCTGAGTCTCAATTTTCTCAACTTGGGCTAATAACCACAAGATCGGCAGTTTGGAATCATGAGCCGCTCCTTGGGAGAAAGATGAAGCTTTCCTCTTCAGTAAAGATTCTCAGTCTTGGAAACCCATGGGAGCACTTCTGTTCTGTCCTGTGTGGTCACTATGAGTTGGGATAAAGTAGAAGGCAGTGAGTGAGTGAGTAGGAAAAAAAATGTGGACTAAGACTTCTTGTTCTCAGCACTCTTGAAGGAACGCTTCATGAAAATAATACTCCTCATGGCCATAATGACTTGTTTTCCTTCTGTGCAGCAAAACGAATCTGAATTAACGTTCAAGCCCAGATTCTCCAATTCTTTCAACCCATTGCAACACAAAGGTAAGTTACAATCAAACCCTAAGTAAGAAAAGCTGGGAAGAGAGGATACAACTACATCCTATAATGAAAATGTGATGCCAACTGAGAAAAATTACTATCAGCTGGCTATGTGTCCCAAGTTCATTGGATTGTGTGCTCAAGATGGCTGGACAGTTTGGGGGCATCTGTTGCTGATAGAAACCAGCAACAGTGATACCCTTCACTTCATCATAGCGTGTCCATCCTTAAGCCCATTTCCTCGCTAGACATGACTCCATGTAGATCTATGGCATCTCATGAAGTGTGGTGAAACTAACAGCCGTCACTGTCAGATCCAGGCTGTACTGGCTGAGAGAGCGCTTGCTTCTCTCTCTAAAGCCGGAATTGTTCACCTGTTTACACATTGGCCATTAGTAAGTCTATGGTCTTCAGCTAGAGGAAGACGGATATTTAAACATTACAAATAGGGATAGCCTTCCTGGAAGAGAAGGAGGGAGAGCAGACATTGCACTGCTCCTGGAAGTTAAGAATCTGAGTCCCACTCCATGTCAAATTCTGTTCATATACTCCTAAGCTTAGGCAAATGAGCAACTCATTTCCCATGAAAATATTTCAGTTCCAAAATTCAAGTGTCTCTGAAGATCCACACACCTAGAACGCTTGGTTCTTCTTATCACTGCAACCAACAAGCTTGTGTGTTTTTTACAAGTTTCTTCTTTTAAAGGAGTCTGGTGGTACTCTGGGTTAGGTGTTGAGCTGCTAACCCCAAAGTTAGCAGTTCCAACCAACTAGCCCCTCTGTGAGAGAAAGCCGAGGCTACTCGTCTCAGAAACCCTTTCAAGATAGGGAGATTGTGAGTCAGAACCAATTTGATGGCAGTAGGTTTTGGGTTCACCTTTTTGGAGGATACTGGGTGGTGCCAATGGTTTGCTCTGGACTTCTAACCTAAAAGTCTTGTTTATGGGCCCACCTAACCTCCCCATCAGAAGGAAGGCCTGGTGATCTGCTTCTGTAGAGTTGTTCTACTCTGTAACATATGAACTGCAAAGGACGTCATGGCAATGGGATCACCTTTGGGGACAAGTGTTACCCCATCACTTAAAATGAACCAAACAAACAAAAACACCAAACGCACTGCCATCAAGTCCATGCTGACTCACAGTGACCCTGAAGGACAGAGTAGAGCCTTGCCCTGGTGAGTTTCCAGACCGTAACTGTCTATGGGAGTAGAAAGCCTAGTGTTTCTCCTGCAGAGCAGCTGGTGGGTTTGAACTACTGACCTCTCGGGTCGCAGCCCAATGCACAACCCCTACGCCAACATAGCCAAGCAATAATCTGTTCCCCTTTCCCTTCTCAGGCATATATTCTCTTTCGCATACTGGAGACTCCTCAAACGACGTCATGCTAACTCAATTTTTATCAACGGAATAAGACTAGGAACCATAAAATCAAGGGGGAACAAATGGAGCAGTTTGACATTTGGAGCGAAATGTCAGGGAAGAGATCGTGCCCAGAATTGGATGGGACTTTCTGTATTTAGGGGTCTGGCAACAAAATGAGATCTCTGAGTCTTCATCGCCGCCTCCTTTATCTTCAAGGAAATGGAAAGAAGATGATTTTTCAGGTGGTTTGATTCTGAAAAATTGCTCCAAAATTACAGAAGAATCTATTTTGTTAGAGTATATGTCACGTGCACCTGCTTCTCACTGCTTTCAAAGGTGGCTTTCCTTGTCATGAAAGAGCATGATTCACGAGCATTGTCCAGATGCTAAAAGTGTCATGAAACCGCCTCAGATAAACAGACAGGCTGCCACGGTCTTGCCACAAAGCCATTGGTGAAAAATTCTTGCAGTAAAGCTTTACCTCTCAAGGTTTTAAGTTGAATTTTAGGCCATTTTTGGGTCCCCTCCCCTTTCTTTTTGTTCAGCCACTTTCATGCTGAGAGTTCTCCAGAAATAAACATGGGAGCTTCCATTCCAGAGAGCTTGGTAGCCATGGATCAAGAAGTGTAATAATGTCACTTCCCTGCTTCAAACTGCACTTTGGTCTGCTTCCAGCCGAGGGAAGGCAGCTGTCCCAGGGGACACCGAAGGCAGAGCTGAAGAAAGGGAGAGTTAGAGAACCGAAAAGACTCGCCTGGAAGTCTGAGGAGGGAACCTGGACTTTCTCGGGCTTTGGATTCCTGCTCCATTAGGGCAGCCCCATGATGGCCTTGAAAATGACCTACCATCTTAAGAGGTCTTTCTCGAGTCAGATATATTGTTCATCATGCCCAGAATTCTCTGTTTGTAAGAAGCAATCGAGGGGCGTTTGGTTACTTGCTTTCTGGGAACCATCACAAGGATTTACTTTCTTTTATTTTTTATGGAGGGCTCTTACTGCTCTTATAAAAATCCATACATCAATTGTATCAAGACCATTGGTACATATGTTACCATCATCACTTTCAAAACATTTTCTTTCTACTTGAGCCCTTGGTATCAGCTCCTCTTTTGTCCTACCTTTCCCACCCTCCCACCCTTGTGACCCTTGATAAATTATTATTGTTTTCATATCTTACATGGTCTGCTGTCTCTCTTCACCCACATTTCTGTTGTTCATCCCCCTCGGTATGTGTGTGTGTGTATGGTTTTTACATTGATCCTTGCTATCGGTTCCCCCTTGCTCCCTGTTCTCCCCCATCTTCCCCTACCCTCATTGTATCACTACTCTCATTACTGTTCCTGGGGAGAGGGCTATCTGTCCTGGATTCTGTGTGTTGAGAGCTCTTATCTCTACCAATATACATGCTCTGGTCTAGATGGGTTTATAAGGTAGAACTAGGGTCATAATAGCGGGGGGCAGGGGAGGAAGCACTAAAGAACTAGAGGAATATTGTGAGTTTCATCAGTGTTGTACTGTACTCTGGTTGATTGACCCATTCCTTGTGAACTTATTGTGAGGAGATGTCCAATTGTTTGCAGATAGCTTTTGGGTCTCCACTCCGACCCCACTCATTTGCATAGGTATGATTGTTTGGGGTCTTCTGATGCACAATGATTTACTTTCATCATACACTATAGGTCCTTTTGGGATGCCCTCTACATGTATAACAGTGACCACTGTAGAGTGAGATCTAGAGCAGCAGGCTAGTAAACACTCTGTGGAGTCATAGTCCCCAGAAACTTGGTGGTGTAGTGGGTTACATGTTGGACTGTCAACTGCAAGGCCAGAAGTTCGAAACCATCAGCTGCTTCACAGGGTAAAGTTGAGATTTTCTTACTCCTGTAAAAATTACAGCCTCAAAAACCCACAGAGAAGGTTCTATTCTGTCCTATAGCATCACGATGGGTCAGGATTGATCTTTTGGGAGTGGTCCCTCCATCATAATTGGCTTAGCACCATCTCAGCTCTGCACACACTTGGATTTGGTGGATCCTCCCTCCCATGCCTGGCCATTATGGATATGCCCATGCCCATGCCATGAGTTATTATTCTAGATGCTCCTAAAGTCCCTAGTGCTCATGGCACAGTGTTGCTAGGCACGTACACCTGGTCCCTGCTTACCCTTGCCACTGAGCCCAGAGCAGACCTGAGGGTGTGTCCAAGTTCACAGTTCTGTCAGCTAAGCTCGAGCCTTTGCCTAGAGCACCCTGGCACCATGAGAACGTGACTCCATTTCCACAGGCAAACCTTCCCTGCATCCCAGGAGAGGGAAGATCAGGAAACCTCAGTGCTCACGGTAGATGGAAAGCAAAGAAGAACTGAGTGAAAACATCCACCAGTGGGGAAGGATGTGCCCAAACATGCAGCCAGCCAAAGCAGGAGAGGGAGAAGGGACCTTTCAGGCTAAATCCCTTGTATCTGTTATATTATTACATATGATTAGGAATCTTCATCACCAAATGAAGAGTATCTTAGCTAATTAAAGTGACCAAGAGGCGACCCTACCAGTACTGTCTTTGGTGGGAAGCAAATTTTCTTCTACGGAACAAGTTTTATAAGGATGGATGAGACACCAAGAAATAAAAGGATGTTTGATCATATATCACATCTGTCTGTCCAACTCACTAATTACACACATATTAAGCTCAGCTTCCATTCAAAATGCTACTAACTCAAAAAGCACACTGCCATCAAGTTGATTCCAGTTCCTAATGACCCTACAGGGTAGAGTGGAAGTGCCCCTCTGGGCTTCCAACGTTTTAAATCTTGACAGAAGCTGACAGCATCATCTTTCTCCCTTGGACCACCTGAGCCAATCACATAAAGATAATTTTAAAAAGACACATTAATCGTTTTCTTCTATTGCGTAAACGTGCGTATGCTTCCCTAGCTTAGGAGGGTCTGGAGGCTCCGCTGAGCCACTGCTCAGAGCCTCACAAGGCCAAAGTCAAAGTGTTGCTTCTGCTGTGTCTTCGATTAAATGTGTGCCTGGGGGGGAAATCCACTTTCCGACGAATCCAAGATGTTTACAGAATTTAAGTCTTTGCAGTTGTAGTACAGAGAGGCCTGACTTTTCCCCCACTGACTGTTGGATAGACGCTGCTCTGAGATCCTAGAGAGGCCACCCACATTGCTTTGTCATGCGGGCTTCTGCCATATGGCCAATTAAATCAGTAATCTGACAAGCAGAGATTTAGCTCTAACCTACTTGGAAGGTAGAGTCTTGTATAACGTCAGGTAATCACAGAAATGGAGTACAAAGAAGAATCAATGGCTTTGAATTGTGGTGTTGGCAAAGTGTATTGAATATACCATAGACTACCAGGAGAATGAGTAAAACTGTCTTGGGGAAAAAATGCAGTGAGAATACTCCTTAGAAGTTACAATGGCTGGGTTTTGTCTCACATATCTTGGACGTGCTATCAGGTAGAACAATCCTTAGAGAAAGACATCGTTAGTCAAGGATAGGGTCGAGGAAAGAGAGAAAGATTCTCAGTGAGATGGACTGACACAGTGGCTGTAGCAGTGGGCTCTACAAAACAATGGTTGTAAGGATGGCCCAGGACCAAGCAGCATTTTGTTCTGTTGTACTTAGGGCCTCTATGAGTTCGAACCGAGTTAACGGCACCTAAAAACAACTAACAAATCATAGAAGTGACAGACTATCACTTGGTCATATTCTATTGATTAGAAGCAAGCCATTGGTCCTAGCCTCACTCAAGGGAAGGGGATTGAACACAAATGAAGCACTAGGAGAGGAACAGCACCCAGTGTCTCTGATACGAAATCTCAAGAATAGAAAATCATTTGTTATGATCTATACAGTCGAATGCCTTGGCATAATCAATAAAACATAAGTAAACATCTTTCTAGTATTCTCTGCTTTCAGCCAAGATCCATCTGACACCAGCCTCCTAGATAGCCCTTTTTCCACAACCTCTTCTGCATCAGGCCTGAACCTCTGGCAGCTTCCTGTCAGTGTCCTGCTGCAGTCATTGTTGGATGAACTCCAGCAAAATTGTATTTGCATGTGGTCTTCATGATACTGTTCTATAATCCGCGCACTCTGTTGGGTCACCTTCCTTTGGAATGAGGACAGTACATATGGAAATCTTTCTGTCAGTTGGCCAAGTAGCTGTCTTCCAAATTTCCTGGCATAGATGAGTGTTTCCATTGCCTCATCAGCTCATTGAGACATTTCAATTGGTATTCCATAAATTCCTAGAGTCTTGTTTAAGGCTAACACTTTCAGTGCAGCTTGAATTTCTTTCTTCAGCACCTTTGGTTCTTGCTCATATGCTGCTTCTTGGAAGGGTTAGATATTGACCATTTCTTTTTGGTACAGTGACTCTGTGTATTCTTTCCATCTTCTTTTGATGCTTCCTGCATCGTTCAATCTTTTGCCTATTAGAACCTTTCAAGATTGCAACTCAAGGTTGGAATTTTATCTTGCATTCTTTCTGCTTAAGACATGCCGAGCAGGCCCTTCCTTTTTGGTTGTCTACCTCTAGGTCTTTGCACATTTCATTACAGTATTTCACTTTGTCTCCTCAAATTGCCCTGTGAAATTTCTATTCAGCTCTTTGACCTCATCATTTCTTCCATGTTACTTAGCTACTGTATGATAAAGAGCAAGTTTCAAAGTCTCTAGCATCCATGCTGATCTTTTCTCTTTCCTGTCTTCTAAAACATATTATTAAATACTTTTACCGGGGGCTCTTATATCTCTTATCGCAATCCATACATTCATCCAGTGTGCCAAGCATATTTGTACATATGCTGCCATCATCATTTTCAAAGCATTTTTTTCCTACTTGAGCCCTTGATATCAGCTCCTAATTTTCCCCTCCCTCCTTACCCTCCCTCATGAACACTTGATAAGTTATAGATTATTATTTTCATATCGTACTTAGACCTCTGCTGCCCTTCACCCACTTTACCATTGTTCATCCCCCTGGGAGGGGGTTATATATTGATCCTTGTGATCAATTCATCCATTCTCCCCCCACCTTCCCCTAATCCTCCTGGTATCTCTGTTCTCATTGTTGACCCTGAGGGGTTTATCTATCCTGGATTCTCTGTGTTTCAGGCTCTTATCTGTAACAGTGTGCATGTTCTGATCTAATCTGATTTGTAAGGTAGAATTGAGGTCATGATAATGGGGGAAGGAAAAGCATTAAAGAACTAGAGGAACATTGTGTGTTTCATTGATGCTATACTGCACCCTGACTGGCTCATCTCTTCCTTGTGACCTTTATGTGAAGGGATGTCCAATTGTCTACAGATGTACTTTGGGTCTCCACTCCATGCCCCATGTTCTAGGTCTTAGATGTCTGATACCTGATCCCATTGACACCTCGTGATCACACAGGCTGGTGTGCTTCTTCCATGTGGGCTTTGTTACTTCTGAGCTAGATGGCCGCTTGTTTATCTTCAAGCCTTTAAGACCCCAGATGCTGTATCTTTTGATAGCTGGCACCATCAGCTTTCTTGACCACATTTGCTTATGTACCCATTTTGTCTTCAGCGATTGTCCGGAAGGTGAACATCACAGAATGCCAGCTTGTTAGAACAAAGTGTTCTTGTATTAAGGGAGTACTTGAGTAGAGGCCCAATGTCCATCTTCAACCTTAATCCTTAACATATAGATATAAGTCCATAGATCTATTCCCCTCTCATTATATAAAAATATAATTACATATGTATATGACTGTATTTAGACCTATTTAAATGTCCTTTGCCTCCTGGGTCTTTCCTCTATTTCCTTTCACTTTCCTCTTGTCCCACCATCATGTTAGGCCTTCATTTGGGTTTAGTAATTCCTTGCTGCTACACTGCCCTTGATTAAGCCCCACTAGCCATCCTACACTCTTTTCTCCCTTGATTTCAGTTCACTAGTTGTTCCCTTGTCCCTGGGTTGGTTTCCACCACCACCCCTTCCTTTCTCCCACCTCCCCTTCTCCC